CAGTCAAGAAGAAATGGAGCCTCCCTCCATCTTTTTGCAGCAGCCTCTCCTCTCAGCTTCTCCCAGGGGCCTAGTTCTACATTTCTCTGATCCAGCCACTGTAGATCAGTGCCCTTTCTGTCTGATTTTCTTTGGATTTTTTATTTTATTTTATTTTATTTTTTGGTACCAGGGATCAAACTCTGGTCCTTGCGCTTGTGAGGCAGGTGGCGGAACCACAGAGCCTAAATCCCCAGCCCTGGACTGTTTAATATTTTGAAGTTTATATTGAGATATAAAGGTAAACAAGACATGACAAACAGTGCCAGCTCAGCATGTCACTTTATCATTTAAACTGTGTCAGAATGATAAAAGAAAAAGTTATATGTGGGTTTTCTCCATTTCACCACCTACTAACCTATGGAAATAGGACATCTTCAGGATTTAACTAAATTGCCATCATCATTATGAAGCCTTTGTCAAACCACCTAAAAAATGCTCATTGTATGTTCTCTGTACTAACTTTCATACAGCATTTATATTTTATCTCACGTTAAGCATCACTAATCCTAAAAAATCTGAAATTTGAAATGTTCCAGTATCTAAAATGTTTTGAGTGTTAATATGACACCACAAGTCTGAAAGCTTTTTGGGCACAAACTGTTTCATGCACAATATTAAGTAAAACTACCTTCAGGCTATGTGTATAAGACATATGAAACACAAAGTAATTTTGTGTTTAGAGTCACACCCCATCCTCAAGAGATCCAGATATTCCAAAACTGTGGAAAATATCAGAAATCTGAAACACCTCTGGTCCCAAGCATTTTGTATAAGGCGTTTCAAACTGTGGTCACACTAGACTGATAGGTTATGGTAAAGTACAGACCATCCTGAAGTTCCAGTGACTTAACTTTTCTAGCCTCTGTCCATCACCAGGTGCTCTAGCTAACTGTTCGGGAGCTCTAAAGCCCATGTCCTCCTTGCTCACTGTAGCAATAGAGCTGGGGATTTGCATGAGCTTTCTCTGAATTGGCTGGGAAATGACATGGAAGCTTCCTGCTGCAGCCCATGGAGAAGTAGTTCTGTGACCTAATCTTAAGAGGGTGTCATAGTGATGGGGAGAGGAGAAGAATGTTGGGCAAGGACCATTTTCTCTTCAGCAAATATTTACCAAGTGCCTAATGTGTATCGTGTAGTCTTTTAGGCCCTGAAAAATGAGGGAAGGAAAATTTCATATTTTCATGGAATGTACATCCTATAGTCTGTATTTTGTTTAATATTTGTAGTTAATTTTATGTATTCTTTAAGGTTAGCTTGATCTTATATAAATTTCATATATCTTTTCTTTAAATCTTTTCTATTTTATTGTTACTTTTCATCTTCTAACTTATCCGTTTCTTTCAATAAGTGTTTGCAATACAAAATACATTTATGGTTGGTACATATGCATATTGCATCTTAATCCTCTTTACTTCCCCTTCCCCTCCCTGCCTTTGTCTTTCCTACCCTCTTTCCATCTCTAGATCTCCTACTTAGTCATCTCTAAGCCTCTTCTTATTTCAAATACATGCATCCCCTTTACAGTTTACATTGAAGAATAACCACCATTGAAGAATATACATTGAAGTCTCATCTTGAATACTGTTCCTAGAGTCAGTCTAGTTTATTCTCAGCTAATTTTAATTACTAGAAAACACTTCTTTATATTTATCCGAAGTCAAAACTTCTATCTATGGAACTATACGTAGTTCCCATAATGATTCTTCAAATATTTTCTAGTAGTTACCAGATTACCCCTAGTCATCTCATCTCCAGTCCCTTATAAGATAGTTTCAAGCTGCCTAGCTGTTTGATCACTTTTGTTTTTATTTATTTATTTAGAGGCAAGGTCTTGCATTGCAGTTTGGGCTGGTTGTGAACTCACTGCGTAGTCAGGGCCTACCTCGAACTCACAGATGTGAGATCACAGGTGTGCCCCTTCACGCCCAGCTCTGATCACTTTCCTTTTAGAGTCTTTTGTTTTCAGTGCATCTTAAAGTATGGTCAGGATAATATAATTTATTATGTAAGGATGGTTGGAATAAAGTAAAGTTATTTAGTACAGTACAATTGAGATTGTAGTTTTGTTAGAAAAATAATCCTTCCTAGAATGGACAGATGTAATTATAATTTGAACAGCTGAGCAAGGTAAGGAAAAAAGAAAAAGTATGATCATGTAAACAAGCGCTTTAAAGTGGAGCAAAACAATGATAGGTTTCTTTGCCTTGAGCACACTGAGATAGGGAAAGTGTGAAAACTCTTGGATTAGCTGGAATAGATTCAGGTGTCTGGGTATTGCAGCCCTAAGATAAGTGAGGTTTTGGATCAAATGGGTATTTCAAAGAAGGACTTTCAGTGGAATTTTGTGCTGTAACAGGCAGAAGAAACTTTAGAAACATTTGGCAGGACCACTAGGGAAAGGTTGCTTAGCAGCAGGTCTTTATGTGGAAGATGTGGCTGAAGAGAAATCACCTAAGCAGGAAGACACTAGATTGCCCAGGAGGCATTTTGATGGACTATGAAGTGTAAAAACTCACCCTTACTTTGTGACAAAGAACAAGAATCTAGTCAAATGGTAAAGTAATAGTGAAGGCAACTAATACGTACATAGGCCTAACAAGACATCATCCTAAGTGTCCCCCAAATAGTAACATTTAATTTTCACAACAGTCCTATGATTAGATACTTTTATTATTCTCATCTTATGGATGAAAGAACTGATCCATATAGCAATGAAGCCAGGTGTGGTGGTGCATGCCTGTAATTCCAGCACTCCGGAGGCTGAGGCAGGAGGATCACTGTGAGTTCGAGACCAGCCTTGCGCTACTTAGTGAGTTCCAGGTCAGTCTCAACTACATAGTGAGACCCTGTCTCACAAAAAAAAAAAAAAAAAAACAATAACATATAGCAATGAAATAATTTGCTAAATGTCATACAGGTAGTAAGAAGGCAGAGCTAGTATCTTAATCTAGGTAATCTGGCCCTAAAATCTGCCTCTTAATCACTGTATCTCACTGTACTATACTACGATGATTGATTTCAACCTACCTTCTTTCACCTCTCATAAGTAACTAATCTGTGCCCTTCTTTTTTTTGCATGGTGCCACATTTCCTACTCCCTTCATGGAGCCAATGCCTTCCTGGCCTTTTCTTCTTCCCTACTATTAAAACCTACTCTGTGGAAAGAAGCTAATAAGTTCATTCATTCATTCACACCAAGGTATAAATAACTGATATGGCTTAATATAAAATAATACCCCAGGGTTGAGTTTTACTTAAGCGGGTGGAGTGGGGAATTTTAAGGGGCCATAAAATCCTAACCTCAAACCCTGCTGAAATGCAAAGTATGTATGGGCATGGAGGGGAGTAAGTGGGGTGCATGACCATCCAGACCCTTTGAATCATAGTGCTGTTTAGCTGACCAGGGCTTGTGGAAACCTGTGCAGTAAAATGAGATAAGAACATGAACAGGGGAATAGAAAGGATAAAGAGAAATATCTTTTTTATATTGACTGAGTAATTTTAGGAATCCCCTATTAGTGCCCAAGTTCGTTATCCAGTAGAAGAGTTCTGATGTAGTCCCGTGAGACATGGACCTCAGGAGAAAGCTTTGACTTGGATATAGTCATAGAGGAAAAGAGAATTCTCAAGTGTTTAAGTGTTTATCTGTTTACATCTGATCTGGGTAATCTCAGAGATTGATTTTTCCCCCTTTATCTCCTACAGAAATAGCTTTGTCAGATGGATCCCTTTCTTATCTGCTCTAGGAATCTTAACAGTCTTAGAATGTTACCCTCAAGTTTGCCTGATACCCTTCTCTTTTTGCTCCACTTAATCACCAAACCTTTTCGTTTTTTTCTTTAAATGGTTCTCATATATTTCAATCTGTTGTAGCTCAGTGAACACTCACTAAGTGTCTGCTCTAGGCCAATTACTTGCTCTGGGCATACAGGATCCTCATCTCAAATGTCCTATCTTCTAGGACTCAGTATGGCAAGATCTAGTCTCATAAGCAAGTACAGAAGTAGTGTGCAGGAGAGAATTATTCTGCTGGGGATGGTACAGGAAGTAGTGCCTGAACAAGGCTTTCAAGGATGCACAGAGTTTGTCAGAGTGATGGTGGGAGCGAAATGCTGCAGCCAGAGGACAAAGCAAACACAAAGGCCCCGGAGCTATGTCGCTATATGAAATAAGTTTGAGTCGAGGAATGTGGGAAAAGATCTCTTTTGCTTTTTGTCATTGTCAGGATTGCCACATGCCCAGACCATCAACTTGTTTGTTTTTATGTCTGTGATTTATTGAAGACCTAGTATTTTTTTTTATTCCGTGCTAAAGTCTTACCTATGTGCCACTGTATCTTTAGCCACTGTATCTTGACACCTGTGTGTTTGGTGCCCGTGTGTCCTCGCCTCCGAGTGACTGTGTGGCACTGGTCTCTAGGAGTGGTGGAAGGGGAGTGACACGTTTGATTCACATCTGTGTGGCCGTGTATTTTAATTCTCATTAGCATACAGATAGTGATTATAACATTCAGATCTGCAGATAGTGATTTTGAAAACTTACTGCAGTTTAAAGGACTAATGTGAAGATAGTAACAGTACTTTGTTAGTCATAATAATTAATTTATTTCACCCAATAACTCAGTTTAGCAAATGAGTTTTCCTGCTGTCTGTACACACAATAGTATGCTATTAAGAAAATAGGAATGGAATAAAATAGGACGTGAAGACCTCCTTTTCATGTAAGAGAAGAATTTACGCAAATTTATTCTCAGGCAGTTTCTGGCCTTAGCTGTCCAGGAGAGAAAAATCAGACCGAAGTGCTTATTCAGTTTCTTCTGTTCATCATAAAATTTGAAAACAAAAAGAAAGGCAGGCTACTTCTAAATTTTATATACTGCTATAAAAGGAAGTTATTGGGGAAATGCTGTCAAAACAAACTGATTTTTATGCTAATTTACTTATAACTTATTTTTTAAGGATGCTGGGCAGTTTTATGCTAAGTATAAAGAAACAAAATTGAAGGAAAGAGAAGATGCACTGACTAGAACCGAACTTGAAACACTTCAAAGTGAGTTTGAAACTGTCTTACTGTGTTAACAATATATAAAACCAGTGATCTACATTTGGATTTTCCTTTAGGTTTAGCAGTAATTAAGTTTTGTATGTTTTCTTTGCCACTTTCTAGTAGTCAGTTGTATTTAATGTATTATGAATCAAAAATACTGTATTTCTGAAGCACCAAAGTCCATTCTCAGAAGGAAACATAAAATCAACATACAACTCCTGAAGTATAGGACCGTCCAAAATCTGCCAGGTCCTGTTATGTCCCAGTACTGAAATTATAATTGATTTTTAGTGCCAAGTCTAACCAACTGCTGTATATTATAACAGTGCTATAGCAATTGGGAAACCTGGAAATATCAGTGATTTTTGTTTTGAAAGTTTTATTTCATTTGCAAATTATTATATAATATAAACAACTTTGAATACATTTATTAATATGTGGAAAAGAAACCTTCCTGTGTACACTAAAGACAGTTCTTCCTGATTTTAGGAAAAGTTGAACGTACTGTTATAAAGACATTTTCCAAGTTCTGGTCCTTTTGTCTAATTTTGCCTTGTCTCCATCCTTCCGACACATATATACTGTCTCTTTACACTGCTTTGTTTTATTGAGTGCCTTTAATACTATGTAACAATTTATGTACTGCTGTTGTTTATATCTGGTTTCCTCCCAGTGGAATGTAAGCTTCATGAGGCAGAGTCTTTATCTGCTCGCTGCTATGTCCTCAAGTCCCAGGGGCTAGAGAGAGCATGCCTACACTAGGGAGCGGTTTTTCCCTCTAGCACGATCCTTTGTGTGCCTGGGCACCATTGAACAGGGACTTGCTTTTTCATCCTTGGGTCTGTGGCCTCCAGCAGTGTCCTGGCATAGTAAATTTTCAGTAAACGGATGAAGGGATGGATACTGAAATTAATGTAATACTATGAATATTAAATGTCAACCAAGCATCAGTCCATAAGAACTCTGCCTCAAGGGAGACAGAGTTTAATTCAAAAAGTTTCAATAATTACAAATACAGAATAATCTTCAGATCAACGGAATAATTGTATAAAGTAAACTTCTGGGAAGAAGGAAGAGTTACGATGATAGAGGATTATTTATTAAGATTGGGTAGATGTGTGTTGGGAAGTAGAAGTGGGCAAATACAACTCTAAATGTAATTTTTATATGATTGTTATTTTTAAGTAAAATTGGTACATAACCATTTCTTAGGCCTTTCAGATTAGTCAGAGAAAAAAAATCCTATCTGTAAAGAGGAAAATATCCAACTAATCCAAAATTTACCTATAAAGGCAATGGAAATATACTGCATTGCATTTATCTAATAGCTTATCATTTTTATGTAATTTGTAACAGATCACTTAGCTGTTACAGTTTTGGTGTATGTGTTAGAATTGTCTTACTAGTAAAAGATTAAGTATATATACTAACCTTATGAAAATAGGGGTTAAAGAAAAAAGTATTTATCACAATGTCAGAGGTCCTTTTGAGGTCTGTGACCACTTTTTGAAAATTGTTCAAAGATTTTTGTTCTGCCTAAGAGTTTGATTAACAGTGTTAAATTTAATCATTTGTTTCTTATTTTGTTGTTTATTTAAAAAAGATTATGTGAAGAAACAAATTTTAAATAAATACCTGAAAGTCTTCTGTCTTCAAAAAAGATGTGTAACAAGTCTTCTAAAACATTTGAAAATTCACCACTGACTTATCAGTTATTGAAACACAGAATGGAATAAATACAGACAAGAAGTCATATTAAAAGCAACACTCATACTAGGCTCTGAGTAATCAGATGGTTGTCTCTCATCTCATGTTTTTTTATATCGTTGAATATTTGGAAAAGGCGGTGGATCAACATTAAGAATGATAAAGAACAGTCACTTTCACTGTTAACAATGTCAGAAACTGTCATGTATTTTTTAATGTAGTCTCTAATGGTTACATGCAAAGAATCTTTTAATTAATTTTGTTAACTTCATTACAGTGTTCTGCATTGTATACATTAGAATTAATACATAAAGGCCCAAATCCCCTAGTGTGCGTTTCATTTGCCCCTATCCTTCTTAATTTTAAAGACCATCATTGGAATACTGAGTTCATAATAACATTTCCATCTACTTAATTGAGTAAATGCATCTCATGCAGATTAGTAATAGCTCTTCTATGCTGCCTGTCTTTCATGACCTATCTGCTAATCTGCCCTCGTGTCTGCTTTACTGCTCAGATTGTGCGGCACTCTCGGGGGGCTGCCCCAGAACTACTTTGAGTAAGGTGTAATGGTCTTATAAAAATAATATTTTAGAGGAGGGAAATTGTGAAAACAGTAATTTCTTTAAAATGAATAATTTTTGCAAAAAATTTTTTAATCTCTAAGCAATTTTGTCACATATTATAAACTTTGATCAATTTTATGATGTAGCTTTAAATAAGTTGAATATTTATAAAAGTAGACATTTTGAGTGTTATGGATTTTTCTTTTAGTCTCTAATTTTATGAGCTTTATCCTAAATAGTTTTTGTTAATTTGTGATGCTGAGGATTAAACCCACAGCCTTGTACACGCTAGGCACGCAGTCTACCACTGAGCTACTGTACTTCCCCAGTTCCGCTCTAAATCGGTAGAAGTAAATTTTATGTTCTTATAATGAAACAGCCTATATAATGAATGCTAAATTCATTATTTTTAAAATTTAATTGACACAAAAAGCGCATGTTTCTGAAGTACCATGTGATGTTTTGATACATGTAAACATTGCATAATATTCAAAATTAGAGTAAACATCTCATCAAACATTTCTTTGTGGTGAAAATGTTCAGAATCTTTTCTTCCAGCTTTTTGAAAGACAGTACATTATCAATAAATGTTTGACTTATTTCATAGAGCTAATATATATAAAGGTCAAGAATTAAGTAGACAAAAGGAGAAGAAAAGCTAAAAGTAGTATTTTTGTTACCATTTTCTCTATACCTTGTATGATTTTTAATCAAAAACAAAATAAAATTATCAAACCTTCCTACCTTTACATGTAGAAATATTACTTTCAGACACCAGTCATATTTTGCCTCTTATTTTGTGGCACCATTGCATGTTCTGGCAATAGTCCTAAGTTGGGATATCAGAGGGACCCAACAAGGAGGGACCTTTGTGCTGGCAGGAAGGGAGTTACCAGGATTCATTTGCCTTCACTAAGATAAAGAAGCATTGGTTTGCTAGGAAACTCAGGCTTGTAAGGAAAAGAGATGCTGGTGCTGATGTGTAAGTTGATTCAGGAGTTGGAAAAGAGGAAAGGGGGACTTGGGAGGGGCAGCCCCAGTGTGTGTTTACAACATTTTTCCATTGGGAGAATGGGTGCTTCTGGGGGAAGAAGATGAGATAATTTAAGAAAAGATGCATAACCAACCACCACCTCCACTGAACTTGGGAAGCATTACCCTGAAACTCGGGGGCAGAATGTGGTGGCAAATGCCTGAAATCAGCACTCAGGAGGCTGAGGCTGGAGGATAGCCATGAGTTGAGGCCAACCTGGGCTGTATAGTGAGAGAAGACCCTATCTCAATAAGCCGAAGAAAGAAAAAGAAGAAACTCTACCTTAACTTAGCAGCTGTAGTATGTTATAAAACCTACTGGGAAGTTGGAAGCTTCGTATTTCAGTCCCAAAAGATTTTAAATGTCAGCAGAAAATATCTGAAGCATAGTGTTTGCCCAGGGTAGTTTGATAACAATAGAAGTTTGAATCTTTAAAATGATACAGCTCAAGTATAAATTTGCCATGCACCCCGTAATAGTTCATATCATTGCTGTTTTTGTGCAAATATAATACAGTCTTAGTCTTCCCACTAAAATGATTCCAAAAAAATTTTTGTCCCATTTAATATGTGTTTATGGCTATAATGAGTCAAATTTCAACTCCAGTTTTACCTGTTAATTTGGAAATGAATATGTACTTAATATTATAAAATAATGTATCAGTTTATAAGGTCCATCAGGCAGGCTTTTCTGTCCCTTGTTTACAGCTGTAACACCCAGCCTATGAGAACAGTGGCAGACCTTTTACAGCTTTCAGTGATATCAAAGCCGGCTGTGGGGCACATGCCATAAGCTTGCCCCCGTCACTGGCCTAGGACAGTGCCTGGTGTGTAGTAGGAGCTTGGTCGGTATTTGTCACATTACTTAGTGAGTTTAGAAATACTATATTGTTCTTCTCCACTCTCACGTTCTGCAGCATTTCTTACAAGAAAGTTTTTGCCATCACTAAAACTACTCTTCAAGTGATCAGCACAGCTCTCCAGACTGTGCCATTCGTACTTCCGTATATGACGAGTTGTGGCCCTTTTGAGTCCATTTAGATGCTGTCTCTGGAAATTTTAAACCAAACTGCAAGTACCTAGTCATCTAACATTAGGGTCGTTTTCTCTTTTTCATGATAGCTACGACAAAACTGCATACTGCTTTTATATTTCAGTTTTGACCCTAAAATATAGATTCACAGAAGTTGTAGCAGTAGCACAGAGAGGGCCCTTGTCCCCACTGTGCAGTTTCCTTGTTGCTAACATTTTACCTAACTCTGGCATCTGATAGAACCCGGCACTGACACTGACAGTGAGCTGATACTGCTGTGCCGTGTCATCACATGTTGTCCACACTGGGGCATTGTTAGCATTGTTTCCACTTTTATAGTCACTCCCATTTCTTTCTGCATCCCCTCACATACCCACAATATCCCTGATCTGGCAGCTATGAATGTGCTTTTCCTCTCTATGATTTGTCATTCTGAGGATGTGATTTGGAGAATCATATAGTATATGGCCCCACTCGTGTACTGAGGATCAAACTCGGTCACAGCGCTGAGCTAAATCCCCAGCCCTGGTATGTGACTTTTTAAGATTGTCTTTTTTCAGTATGCTTTTTCCAAAATGCCCTTGAAATCCAGCCAAGTTTTTCCATATATCATTAATTCATTAATTGTCATCAGTGAATAATATCCTCTGGTAATTAGGTTCCACGGTTTGTTTACCCATATTCACCAGCTGCAGGGCATTTTGGTTGTTTACAGCTTTGAGCTGTTCTAAATAAGCCTGCCTTGTGCATTCATGTAGGAATTAGATCCCCAAAGTGCGGTTGCTGGGTCATACAGACAGTCTGTGCTGAGTTTGGAGAAACTGTCAACTGTTTTCCAAAGTGCCTGTTCCACTTCGCATTTCTACTGGCAGTGTGTGACGACTCGGGACAGTGGAGGCAAATCTATGGCAGGTGTGTCGCAGCAGGCTGTTTGTATCGTTGGAAGCTCTAAACGGTTCCCATTCCTCTCTCTACATTGTCACCAGCATGTGGCATTGTTGTGGTTCAAAACTGTTTTTAACTGTGTGTAGAAACTTCTCATCACGGTCTTAAGTTACATTTCCCTAACCCTAGGGATGGTGAAACGTGTTTTTTCTTTTTCCTTTTCTTTTCTTTTTTTTTTTTTTTTTTTTTTTTTTTTTTTTGGGGTTTTTTTTTTTTTTTTTTTTTTTTTTTCTTTTTTTTTTTTTTTTTGTTTGTTTGTTTGGGGTTTTTTTTCATTTTGTTTTGTTTTGTTTGGGGTTTTTTTGTTTGTTTTGTTTTTGGGGTTGTTTTTTGAGACAAGATCTCACTATGTAGTTGAGACTGACCTGGAACTCACTTTGTAGCCCAGGCTGATCTCGAACTCACAGCAGTCCTCCTGCCTCAGCCTCCTAAGTGCTGAGATAAGCATGTGCCACCACGCCCAGCTGCATGTGCTTTTTCTTCAGTGAAATCTATCTTCATGTCTTCTGCTTGGTTTCTGATTGAGTCTTTGTTACTCCTGAGTCTCAGAAGTTCTTCTTATAGTCTAGATGAGTCAGTCCCTTTATGAAATAGTGGTTTGCAAGTATCTTCTCCCAAGTCCATAGCTTATATTTTCATCATAGAGCAGGCTTTCCATTCTGAAGAAGTACAAGGTATTGTTTTCTATTGACTGTGTTTTGATACCATATCAAAGATGTTATTCCAGTCTCAGATTATAAAGATTTCTCTATTTTTGTAAAACTTTTATAATTTTACATTTTATACAAGCTGTGATGCAATTTGGGTTAATTGTTCCCTAAAATGTAAGTTTCAAGTTGAAATTCTTTTTTTTTTTTTCGCCTGTGGATATCTAATGGTTCCAGTACTGTTTTTTGAATAATCATTTCTTTTCCATTGAATTGCATTTAAACCTTTCCTTAAATCAGTTGTCCTTACATAGGTGAAGCTGTTTCTTCTGAGCTTTCTGAACCATTTCCTTGGTCTATATATCTTTCCCTCTATCAGTAGGATTATGTGGCCATACCAGCTTTATAAAGTTGGGTTAAGCGATTCTTCCTACTTACTCTTCTTTTTCAGTATGTTTCTACTGTTCTAGTTCCTTTGGCTTCTTATGTAAATTCAAAATAAGCCAGCCGGCCGTGGTGGCACACACCTGTAATCCCAGCACTGGGAGGCTGAGTCAGAAGGATCGCTGTGAATTTGAGACCAGCCCAGGCTACATAGTGAGTTCCAGGTCAGTCTCAACTACATAGTGAGACCCTCTCTCAAGAAAAACAAAACAAAAATAATAATAATAATAATAAGCTGGGCACAGTGGTATATGCCTGTAGTCTCAGCTACTTCAGAGGCTAAGGCAGGAGGCTTATATGAGACCAAGAATTTAGGACCCCAGGGCAACATAGAAAGATTTTGTTTAAGAAAATGATAGAGGTTCCATTCAACCCAGCTATATATCTTCTTGGTATCTTCCTGAAAGAATTAAACGCATCATACCACAGTGATACCTGCACACCCATGTTTATAGCAGCACAGTTTATAGTAGGCTAGATCTTGGAAACGGCCCAAATGCCCATCAGCAGAGGAGTATATAGAGAGATGTGGTTCTGTAATACAGTGGAGTACTACTCTGCCATAAAGAAAGATAAACTTGAGATATTTATAGCTAAATGGACGCACCTCGAGACCATACTCTTAAGTGATATAAATTGGGCACACGTGTAAATATCACATCATTTCTCTGGTGTGAGAATCCGAGAATGTAAATAAGGACCAAAATGTATACTAGATATTGTGAAGTAGGAAGAGAATGTTCAAATGGGCAGGTGAACCAGGGAGGGAGAGCGGGGGGAAGGAAGGAAGGAAGAGATGAGAAAAGAAGGAAAGAGAGGTTGAAGGAAGGGTAGGGAAATGGTGGATGCATTTCAATGATTATTCAGTAGTTTCTCCTACTAAGCACTTGATGTTACTTGTTTCGTTTGTCTATAACAAAACAGTAAGTACTTATGTACACACAAACATACACACCCTTATACATACACACATACAATTACATTCTAATTCTTTTATTGCTGGGGGAAAGGTTATGTATTTTAATTTTAATGGATGTTCTTTTATTGCTTTCTTAAAAGACTGTAATACAATAATTCACATTTCTACCACCAATTTAGAGATACTCTATTTTCTGCCAAAAATATATATTATTAAGATTTAAAATTTTTAACCATATCATAGGTTTAAAATCAAATGTTGATATTACTCGAATATGCATTTCTTTAACCTTTAGAGAATATGAGCATCTTTTGTTTCTTGGCCATGTGAATATGTTCATTTGTGGATTGACTATTTGTGACCTTTATCTGTCTTTCTATCAGGTTGCCTATCCCCTCGTCAATTTATGCAGTCTATATAATCTTTATATCAACCTTCTATTTCTCCTCTGAATTGCAGATTTCTTCCCAAATTTATTCTCTTGATATGTTTACTCTATCTTTTGTCTTTTTTGTAGAGTCTGGGTTTTCAGTCTTTGTTTAAGGTTTAATCTTCCTTTAAATAGCACTTACAGGTTTTTCAGATTTCTTTTTGTAAGTTTTTATTGTTTGATTTTTAAAATCAAATCTCTACCTAGCTGAATTTTTTTTGTTTATAGTTGTAAGAGTATGTCCACTTTTCTTTCAAATGGATATTCAGTTTTCCTGCATTATTTAGTAAATCGTTTTCTCATTGAGTTGAAATACTTACATGTTATTCTAGAAATTTGTGTCTGCTGATACTGATTTTATTACATTGACTTTGTAGTACATGCAAACACAAGGGATCGTTAAAATATGATTATGAGCTGAGTGAGTTTGATGAGAATAATTAATGAATTTGTTTCTCTGTGTTGTCTCTAATCAAAGTGGGATTTAATGGAGAGCCATTCTGATAGCCATCCATAGTCTTATATTGCTTAACAATAGGAATACACTGAGAAATCCGTCATTAGGCGAGTTATCCTTCTGGGAACACCGTCAAGTGTGCTTTACACAAAGCAACATGTCTGTGGCATCACTAGGTGATACAACCTGCTAGGACCAGCATTGTGTATCCCTGAGCAGTTACACCATAAACAACTCGACTATACTGATGACTGTTCTCAATACTGCCAGGTTAGATTTTGTCTTGGCAAAGTACTGAAAAAAATAAATATGCACCAGTTACTGAGAGCCAGTTGTGTTTAACAGCTGAGAAAATGGACACTTTTCCTAAGTATTAAGTTACCCAATATTATATAACTAATGTATGTAAAGATAGGATTAGGGCATTAAGTTAAAGCTCTTTTCAGTTTGCTAAAGTGAAATTTGATGAAAGGTATTTTAAAACTGAAGGTGTATGCAAATTGATACGGTAATTTTGTCATAATTATCATAGCATCATCTCTGAGTTTTATTTTAAGATGATGCAATGATTAATGTACAGTAAAACTTACAGCCAGTTATTTATAACAATGCAATTCTGTTTGATGAAAAATGTGATCTTTGGGCCGGGGATTTAGCTCAGTGTTTCTGCCGCCTGCCTTGCAAGCACAAGGACCCGAGTTCGATCCCTGGTTCAAAAAAAAAAAAAATGTGATCTTTTAAAATGTTTAAATGTTTTAAATTTTTTTATTCTTAACAAATCTAATAACTGATTCTTTTATACATTTTTTAGAACAGAAGAAAGTTAAAGTTAAAAAGCCAAAACCTGAATTTCCTGTATACACGCCTTTAGAAAGTGCATATATCCAGTCTTATGATCATGGAACCTCCATAGAAGAGATTGAGGAGCAAATGGATGATTGGCTGGAAAACAGGAACAGAACACAGAAAAAGCAGGTAAACTGAAAACTTGTTCTAACTGAATGAAACACGTTATACGGCTTAGTGTGCTATCATAAGGTAAACCAAGTTAACCATTGCTGAGGTGGAGAACTGAAATATGTCACCTGTGCATCTACCTGTTTCTGCCTTGCTTTTCTTCCACAAATGACTGTCCTGACTTCTAGCGTCAAAGGTAGTTCTACTGCCTTTTTGAAGTTTACAAATGGAATCATCCTATGTGTATTCCTTTGCATCTATTTCCTGTGTTCAGTATTATATTTTTGAAACTTATCCATGACTGCATGTGCCAGTGGTTTATTTTCATTACTTTATAGTAGTCTGTTTACAAACATAACAGTTGATTTTTGTTGCAGAAATGTGATTCTTCTAGTTTTCAGTCATAACGAATAATTTTTCTATGAACATTCTTGTGCATGTCTTTCAGTGCATATATTTGTATATTTTACTCAAATCAACTCAATTTGAGTAAATATTTCTGAATTTTTTTCAAAAATGTATCGATTTCTACTTCAGCAGCAGAATATGAAAATTCAGTTACTGTACATCTTTACAAACACTTGGTCTAGTCTTTTTTATTTAATCTTTCTCTTAGGTATGTAATTATGGTTTAATTTCAAATTCCTTGATGAATAAAATTAAACACCTTACATTAACTGGGCACTGATAGCTTCGTATTTGAGGTACCTTTCCAAGTCTTTTTTGTCAGATTCCTTGTCCTTTTTTATATAAGTTTATAGAGTTCTATCATGTTTTTCAGAAATGAGTCTTTAGCACATATCTTTTCATTCTGCTTTGCCTTTTCACTCTCTCTTTTTTTGTTTGTTTTTTTGTGTTTTGTTTTTTGAGACAGGGTCTCACTATGTAGTTGAGACTGACCTGGAACTCACTGTGTAGCCCAGGCTGGTCTCGAACTCACAGCGATCCTCCTGCCTTAGCCTCCCGAGTGCTGGGATTACAGGCCTCAGGCCTATAACTGGGCACTGATAGCTTCGTATTTGAGGTACCTTTCCAAGTCTTTTTTGTCAGATTCCTTGTCCTTTTTTATATAAGTTTATAGAGTTCTATCATGTTTTTCAGAAATGAGTCTTTAGCACATATCTTTTCATTCTGCTTTGCCTTTTCACTCTCTCTTTTTTTGTTTGTTTTTTTGTGTTTTGTTTTTTGAGACAGGGTCTCACTATGTAGTTGAGACTGACCTGGAACTCACTGTGTAGCCCAGGCTGGTCTCGAACTCACAGCGATCCTCCTGCCTTAGCCTCCCGAGTGCTGGGATTACAGGCCTGCGCCACCACACCCGGCTTCACTCTTTAATAGTGTATTTTAGTAATCAGAAGTTACTAATTAATTAATCTTTACCTTTCTCTTGTTTAGTTCTGGGATTTGTTTTGTTTTGATAACTTTTTTGGAGGGGAGTTGTCGTTCCTTTAAAGAACTCATCTATCGCAAAATCAAAGATATTTCCAAATCTTTCTAGAAGCTTTAATGTTGTCCTTAAACATTGAAATTAACAGTTCTCTAAAATCTTTTTTTGTGTTTGACATTAAGTAATGTTCAAGTTTAATCTTTTTTTTTCCCAAAAGTTTTCTAAACTAATTGAGCTAGTAGCAGTTAATGAAAAGACAGCTTCCTACAGCATTCCAGATGCCATCTTCATCATCACCAAGTGTTCCTAACTGTGGAAGTTCATTCCCAGATGTTCTGCTTTGTTCCATGAGTCATATTTGTTCTGTGTCAGTTCTGAATAGTCTTCAATACTATAGCTTCTTAATGGCTTCCATCTTTGTTTTCCTTCTTTAAGATTGCCTCTTTATACTTTTTGTATACATTTTCAGAGTAGCTTATAACTTTTTACAAATTATTCAGCTAAAGTATTTAATTTAGGGTCACCATGAATATATAGGTAAATCTTGGAAGAAGAGTTATACAAATACCATTGACTCTACAACCCATGATAAATCTATTCACTTATTTTAAAAATGAGTTGCATTGTGTATATATTGCACATTGTTTTAGATTTATTCATGAGTATATGGTGTTTGATACTACAAGTGGTAATGTTTCACTTTTGGATTATGAAGAACAATTGCTTTTTGTATAAAAATCTTGTAGCCAGTACCCTTGCTAAATTTACCTTTTAATTCTAATGGTTTCCTTGTGTATTATACATTTTCTCTCTTTTGTATAATTAGAATTTCTAATGCAGTGTAGACTAGATAGAAGTGGTAGTAACAAATATTCTTGTTTTCATTTCCATTCTCAAAAAATTTCACTGAAATTTTCATTTGTTTGTTATTTGGTACTGGGGATCAAACTTGGGACTCTGCACTTGCGAAGCAGGTGGCCGAACCACTGAGCTAAATCCCCGGCACTTCACTGAAATTTTTATTTCATCATTGGAGCAATGTATTAAGCTTTCATCATGTCACTATTAAATATGATATATTTTATAAGCCTTTTATAACATTTCAGTGAAATAATCCGAACATAAAATTCACCTTTTACAAAATACGTACTTCAGTTTTTTGTGGGTTTTTTTGTTTTGTTTTGTTTTAGTTGTTGTTTTTTAGGGGAGGGGTGAGACAGGGTCTCACTATGTAGTTGAGACTGACCTGGAACTCACTATTGTAGCCCAGGCTGGTCTCGAACTCACAGCGATCCTCCTGCCTCAGCCTCCTGAGTGCTGGGATTACAGGTGTGCACCACCACACCTGGCCTTGTTTTGTTTTGTTTTTTGGGGTTTTGGTTTTTTTTTAGTGGTTTTTAGTCTGTTCCTGTTCGTGGAATTCTATTCTCACTAATTCTAGAACATTTTCATCACACACAGACACACACACACACACACACACACACACACACACATCCTTATACCTCTTAATAATGGGTTCCAATTCTCTTCTTTCCCCTCCCATGGCAACCACTAATCTACTTCCTATCTCTGTAGACTTGCTATTTTGAACTTTTTTTTAAACTGGAGCCATATAATATGCAGTCTCCTATGTTTGGCTATTTATATTTTGCGTAATGTTTTCAAGATTTATCCATGTTGTGTCATATAATAGTACTTGATTTATGGCTGAATGATATTTCCATGTTGTCACATACTATTTGTCCATTCATTGGCCAGTGGACATTTGGTTTGATGCTTTGTGGCTATGATAAATAAAGATGTATAAACCTGTTGACATTAGCATACAAGTCCTTGGATATTGGCTTTGCAGTTTCTCTAAGAATTATGATTAACAACTTATTTCATAACAGTCAAATTTGGCTTAATGCCAGCTTGGTTTCAATAGTGTATAAAAACTTAGACCTTTCACAGCCTTTCATACCCTGTCTGCTGGGTATGATCTTGAAACAGGAAACTAGAGTAAGACCCCAGGATCAGGCTCAGACTGTCAGGAGTCAATGTCCCCTTCTCAGAGCAGTACCCATCATCTAAGGACCGCCTACTGGCACCCTCCTGGTGCCATCAGCAACTACATGTCACACTGAGGATTGTTCTCATAGCACATGGCTGATATGAGGATCAGCAACACCCAAAGCATGACTTCCATCACCTGTTTTCGATATTCAATGTACTAGTCTGCTCTTGAAAAAATTGTGTGATTCTGGACTCTGTATTCTGTGTTGAATAAAGTTTTATTAATTATGCTTTTGAATCCTAAAATTAGTTTTGGTCATTTGTTTGATGAGTTATAGCAAGACAGGGATTAAAATTTTCCATTATGATTGTAGCTGTCAGTTTTTCCTTGTAGTTCAGTTTTTGCTTTATGTATTTTGAGACTGTTGTTGCGGTTGATTTTTGAATATTTATCTTTTTAGTGAATCAGACCTTTTACTATTTATCTCTGATGATGTGAAATCTTTGATTTATCTCTAGTAATGCTTTTTAGGCTTTTACTTTGTCTATTAGTAACAATTCCATCTTGTTTATGTTGACATGGTACATATTTTGTCATACTTTATTTTCTTTCCTTATATATTAGATGTGTCTTACATTATTTTGTAATTTTAAAAAATCTAGCCTGAAATATTTAAATTTTATTTAAAACTTCAATTCTATTGCTATTTAGTAAAATTGCTAACCTCTTAAGGTTTAAATCTGCCACTTTATTATTTGAGTTTTGTTTTTGGTCATTTTTCTATCCTGTCTCTCTGTTTTTTCTTGTATCTTGACCTTTCTAGGGTTGATTGTTTTGTTTTGTTTTGTTTTTGCAAAATCATTCTTGAACCCAGGGCTTTGAGCATGCTAGGCAAGAGTTCTACCACTGAGCTAAATCACCAGCCCTTAATTAATCAATTTTTAATATACCATCTGTCCTTTATGTTTTAAGTTCTTTTTTTCTCACTTCATATTCTTCTTTTCAGCTAATTGACTAATTTATATTCTATCTTTCTTTTTTTTTTCTTTTTTTTTTGGTACTGGGGATTGAACTTGGGTCTTTGCACTTACAAGGCAGGCAGCAGAACCACTGAGCTAAATTCCCAGCCCCCATCTTCCCTTTTAATAGTTTTACTATTGACATAATGTGATAAAACAAAACACATATACTTTATATCAAGTGTGCTATATCATGCATTTTGACATATTTATATGCCTGTGAAACGAACACCAGAACCAAGATACTGACCATAAATATCTTTACCCTAAGTATCTTTGTTTCTTTATAATCGATCATTCTTAGTCCTCTGCCTACCTCTAGATGACCATTCATATACTTTCTTTTACTGCAGGTTTGTTTCTGTGCTTACAATATCATGTATATATATGAAATCATACTATTTGCTCTTCTATCTGGCTTCTTTAAGCATAATTCTGAAATTTATACATGTTTATTCAGTAGCAATAGCTTCACCTATTTACTGCTAAGTAATATTCCATTTTTACTTTCTCACCACTTGAGGTATACTTCGCTTGTTTCCAGATTTGGACTGTCATAAATAAGCATGCTTTGAAGATTCATGTGCAGGTCTTTGTGTGGTTATATGCTCCC